TTTTTAGTAGTCTTAATTTTTTTTCTAGGCTCTGTTTTTTTTTTGTGTAGTTGTGCCATCTCTGATTGTTTGTTTTTGTTTTTTTTTAATGAAAATGTAGATAACTTCTTGGGGTTTGAGGAGGTAGAAGGAGAAGATGAGTTCAGGGAAGAGTATGCTTGTCCCTTCTGCTCTGACTATTTTGATATCGTCTCTCTCTGCTGCCACATAGACGAAGATCATCCTAATGACACTATCAACGGGGTAAAGTATCTCTTTGATATTGTTCTGTAATATCAAAATTCTAATTAATGTTTTATCACATGGTTCTTAGTAAATTAGGCAAACCATTGCTCTTTGTTTAGTAGTTTCTCTTCTTGCACATACAGTAAGGGAAATGAAAGTAGCATAATGAAAATGTGTTAGGAATAGTGTTTTTCAGTGTTCTAAAAATCGGCCTAGACGGTGCCAGATGGCAAATCAGGCTTTAATGAAACCACTTTTTAAAAACGGTCTAGACGTTCAAAAAATCGGTCTAATCAATAAGCTCTTATAAAGCGCCTAATTACCGCCTAACGATTTCTTGAACATTGGGATTTTCAGGAGAGTTGCTACTATATAAAGATTTATTTTTGACACATTTTTACTCCTTGTAGGTATGCCCCGTATGTGCGGTGAAAGTGAGCTCTGATATGGTTGCTCATATAACACTTCAACATGCAAATATGTTCAAGATATCCTTTTTTCTATCCATCATTTTTACTTATGTGATTTTCCTTCAATACATTGTGTGTTTCATTCATTCCTTAACTAAAATATCACGTGACAACGAGGAAAAGGAAACCAAGAAGAGGCGGGGCTCAGTCCATGCTATCAATCTTGAAGAGAGAGTTTCCTGATGGAAACTTTCAAAGCTTGTTTGAAGGATCTTCACGTCTTGTTGTACCTTCTTCTTCCAGTATAGCTGCTGACCCTTTGCTGTCTTCATTCATTTCGCCAATGGCAGATGGACTTTTCATTACAGAACCAAGTTCCGCCAAGAAGACATTGAACCATAGTTTGCCTGAACGGTATTTGCTTCATCATCCTTAGATTGGTTTTTTCTTACAATCACTCTCTGATGGTTCTTGTCTTGTTCTGGATTTTTGCAGTAGTGTTGAGAAGAAGTCGCTTTCAGCAGAGGATCATAGAGAGAAGTTGAAACAGAGCGAGTTTGTTCAAGGGATTTTCAGCTCCATGATTCTTGATGATGATTTATAAAAGGAGAGCAAAAATATGACTTCTCTATGATTGCTAGATCATTTCAGGATTGGAAAAAAAATGTAACAGAGTTGTTTATTTTTCAACAAATGATTTGGTGAGATAACCAGAATAATGTTAGAGAGCTTTGTATTGAAAGAGTCAAGAGAGACATGAATAATGAAGTATTATTTTATCTTATTGAACACATTTTTTCTTTAATGAACACTGTATTTATCTGTAGACTGTAAGAAAACATCAACAAAAAAAATATGTGCATTGGGTTATATGTTCTTGAGACTTGAGAGTATAAGCATTTACTTTGTAATTACACTTCAAAGATTGCACTGCAAAGATTAAAGACTGATAATGAATGGTAGGAGCTGCGCGAACGCAGGCCCCCTCTGCCACAAATAATGACGCAGGCTCTCCCACTTGGGGAGACCTTAGGCTAAGCACACTTCCTTTTATGTGCAATGAAAGTTACTAGCCTAGGCCACTCGCCTTCTTGATCATGAGTTGACCCCGTCCAGGTAAGTGATTTGCTCATTCACTGCATTTCCTTTCTTATACTCTGCTTCCCGAGTCCTTCCGATTATATGCAAGCGATGTGGGAATACTTACTAGCACAGCTTCAAATGGTAAAGATTCTTTCCTGTTATGTTCATGGGCTGGATTCTATAGGCATAGTTTAAAGGGTTTGAGCATAGCTCTGTTCTTGTTACATTTCTGGTTACTCACTACTTGGTTAGCGCATTGTTCTTTATTTTGTATTGTGGATCAATGTTCTCTTTGATGAACATAACCTATTACTTTGTTTTTATGATCCTTTGAAATTTTAGCTTATCCCACTGTTACCAACGACCCAAAGCTCTTGGGGTGGTCTGAATTTTATTTGTTTGTGAGAATACAAATTGCAGATTTTCTCTGATGATCCTTGTCTTAGCAGGATCTTACATGAATGTTGAAAGGCAGAGGACAAAACAGAGAAAAGTTAAAACAACTCGAGTTCATTCAATGGATTTCCAGTTCCACAATTCTTGATTATTACCATGTAATGATGGTGGAGCAAGCTGTCATGAAAGTAAAACAGAACAGTGTTAAAGAGCTAAGAATCAAAAATTGAACTAAAGGAATTGTAGGGCTTTACCCCAAAGGGAGCCCTTCCAGAAATTCTCAGAGTCTTAGGTCAAGCCTAAGATCAATGAGGGGGTTTGGAAATAGTTTTCAACCAGCAATAGACGCGCCTCGGTTAGTACCTCATAAGCTGCGTCATTGCCCCAAGCGCAAAGATAATTTGAACTAAGCGAAAGCCTCTTTGTTTTATAATCGAACAAAACCGACCTACTTGGAACATCTCTCCGATGTGGGATATTAGTTATAGCTTGACCTAACCCAAAGCCATGGTAATTAACACAGTAAACTGCAATTTCACTCCACAGAAAACTATGTCGTGAACACCCCTCGTAATATCTATATTCAGAGAAGAGATCATTATCTTAACAAGAGACTTGCAATGCAAGTAACTAACTAACAAACTTAAAGACTCGGAATGGTAGGAGCCGCGCGAACGCAGGCTCCCTCTGCCACAAATAATGACGCAGGCTCTCCCACTTGGGGAGACCTTAGGCTAAGCGCCCCTCCGGCATGTGCAATGGAGGTCACTAGCCTAGGCCACTCGTCTTCTTGATCACGAGTTGACCCCGTCCAGGTAAGTGATTTGCTTGTTCCTTCCCCTTCTGTTTTTATACTATGTTCAGAGAGTCCTTCCCTTTAAATGTAAGCGATGTGGGATAAGTTATATACATCTCTCACTCACAAACGGCAAAGTTGCTGGGTTTTACACACACATGGGCCGAACACTGCAGGCCCAGTTAAGTGTTTGGTAGTTGATCGTTTATGAAAGAATACTCCCAAGAGAAGAGAGACTGAAAACACTATGGGAAGAAGTAGTTCACTAGAAAGATCGAAACAAATGTACAAATTTGGGGGTTGGAGGTCAAATGCATGGAAGAGAGTCTAGTATATTGGCCTAATGGCTCAAATTTTTAATCAAAAGTTGTTTTTGAATAGAGTCAAAACTATAAGAAAAGTTGTAGTATGTTAAAACTTCGTCTTCTGTATTAGTCCAATGCCTCAACATTTCGTTTTTCATAGTAAAACTTAAAAACTAAAAAAAAAAATCGAAACTAATACTTAAATCATAAATAAAAACTTCTTTCATTTCTCATTCTCTTCATATATTTTGACCGCACCGAATATAAAACAATAACGTATGGCTTTTCCAACATGAGCTGAACAAGAAGAGGATCGATGCAAATCGATGGACTGGGCAAGAGTTCATGCCATTATTGATGGTAGTGTGGTTTTAATCTCTCACCGATATACTTTTATAAGGTAGTCATGTTCTTGTTGCTTATTCACACTTGAGATTTTCAGAATAGTTATACAAACTTTTATTTCTTACCAATGTCATTATCTTAACAATCTTCAAACTAAGGTACATTCGAAGATCTAACACCACTGCTTAAAACCTAAATAATAATCAGCAACAACACTAACTAACCAACCAACCAAACCAAACTGAAGGAATAATATGGAGAGATTTGAGATTAATTACATGGATTATTACAAGCCGTTGTAGTGTTTGTTCATCTTTGTAACTGTTCTTGATTCTGGTTGTTTGTTGTGGACGGTGAAGTGTTGATTGCTTCAGAAGGTGGAACCATCCCCCACTTGCCTTCAGCCTCCGTCGGTTCTATCACCGTAACTGACCCATCATTCAAACCGACCGCAAACTGGTTTGGCTCTTGTGGGTGAGCTGCCACAACTAGAGGAGATAAGCCTTGGTTCCTGTAAAAGCAAAGAGAAGTTAATATAGAGAAAAGCTTTAGATTGACTTAGAATTAAGAATCTGATGAAATGTTGGATAAGAAGTTTACCCTTGAGGCAAGTAGGCGGTTGGAGAGATACGACATCTTAATCTAAGAGTGTCTGCGTCGAACACTCCAATGTTCCCATCGCGGAAAGTGGTGTAGATTAACTGGCTGTTGCAGGCATACACTGCTGAAGATATGGGAGCAGATAACGAGTCTTGAGGAATCCACTGAGACATGGAAACAAGAAAACATGTCACTTACAAAATTCATAACAATAGACGTTTATATATCTATGGACTTAGAGAGATGATCTCATACGTACCTGTCGGATACATTCCATCTTGGAAGCATCAAATATAGCTAGTTGTGTCTTGTGGACTGCCAGGATACGGATCTGATCCACATGGAACTGTACACGCGTGTCTCCAATGGCGGCTTTTCCTGCTGGCATTTGTATTGCTACGAATTTTCTCTTCTCCCATGTGTCAATGCTCCAAAAGCATATCTAAGAGAAGGGAACAACAGGAGTTAGCATCCTCCTAAAGTTCGATAATCCAGCATATTTTTTTTCCGCAACAACAAGACGCAGCATAACGCACCTGAGCATCAGCACCAGATGAAACCAAGATATTGAGGGTTGTAGAAAATGCTAAGCCAGTGATGTGTTTCTGGTGACCCTTTAGCTTTGACTTGACCTGATGAAACACAGAAGTGAGTTCGTTCATATAGTTTCAGAGCAACATTTATCTGGGAAAGAATTAAAATGTGAAGCTATAACAACCACTTCCCAAATAAATAAGTTAAGTTTTCCTCGTCACAGATCAGAAAACTACGGAAGTGGCAATGGTTAGTACTACTACTGTCGACTACTTACCTCATCCACTCGGACATTGTAGATGTGAATCGTGGAGTCCTCCATTCCAATGGCAATGATGTTGTTGTCCTGAGGATGAAACGCCAAAAATGTTGAAGCCAGTGGAGGTTGCATGAATGTTGTCATCACCTATAAGGCCAACAGATTTCTTAAAATATTAGAACCACCAAAGGAGTTTTATAGCATGAATGTGAGAGCAAATTCAGCTAGAGCTTGTGGCGTTAATGGTCTATTTTAAAAGTTAATGTGTACAGGTAATTATGTATACCTTAAAAGTCATCATGTTGAATAACGAGACTTTTCCTCCAGCAGCCGACATGACATAAGAGTCGTTCTTAGAGAGAGCGATGCACGGGTTAGACTCTTCAAGGTTTACACCAGAGACATCGTTGGTCATGAGAAGACCACTATTTGGTTGCCAATGCTGAGGAACAACAGCAGTAGTTGCCTGCAAAATAAATGGCACTTAGACAAAGCCGCACACAGTATGCATTTGAGCTTTCTCTAACTCTCTTTTATGCTCTACCTTTCCACTAGGGTTCTGCTCAGTGCGAACCAACTTCCAGAGCCTCTGAATACCGTTCAAACCTAGTGCCAAGATTCTAGCGCCGGAATTAGTATACAGAAGCTGGACGACCTGCTTTGCCAAGCAACATGAGAAACATAAGCCCTTAGTTTTTTCTTTCTTTGTAAAACAAATTTTCAGGAAGTTAATTGCGCAAACCTTTATGGAAGAACCAGCGGTCTCGGGTAAAGTAGCCTGGCGACACTGGGTTGGGTCCAATATTTCAGCTAATTGCCAAGGTCTTGGTTTGTCTGTTGAGTCATCTATTCTTGGCTTCGAGGGATCAACTCCATTCTTGAAGATTAGCACAACAAAAATAAGATTATTAATTTTTCTTAAACGTAAGATAAAAACTGACAACAAATGCTATAGCCAGGGTTTTTTAACAAATGAGATTTAATTTCAATTTCTAGCGACAATCCAGAACAGAGAATAATGATTTTTAAAAATGACTAGAAAAACATAACATTTAATGGGTAATTTACCAGGATAGGTGAGGGTCTAACAGGAGAGCCTCGTTCAATTTTACAGCTGACAGACGCAACATGAGCACCATGAACCTAACAGAATACCAAAATGTGTAAACCGAGAGAGCTTGCTAAAACAGTGGAAGCTAATAAAGGAAAATATACTACAAAGTTTAGCAACATTACAGCTTTGATTAAGGAAGAATCAACTGGATTCCTCATCGTTTCAAAAGCAGAAGCTTCCATGGCTCTCAGAGATCGGAGACCAGCTGTGTTTGCTAGGATCTTAAATCCGTTATCTGCCGTAGAAACGGCTAGAAGATTACCTTCCCTGTTAAATCTCAAACGAGGAAGAGCCTGAAGATGAGACAAGTTAGTATCCAGAACACTAAGCAACAAGCCATGGCAGAATAAAAGAATCTGTGGGACTAACCGGAAGTCCGCCCTCAGCATCAGTGCTTGTCAGAACACTGATGTTGTCCATATCCCAGAACTTGATTTGTCCATCTTCACCAACAGCCAGAAAGTGGTTCTTTGAGGTATCAAACTGAACCATACCAGCCAACTTTTTATGAAACCCAAGATAGGTCCTTTTAATTGATCCTTCACTTTCATTCCACTCAACTAGGAAAAAATCACCATCTTTACTCGTTCCACAAGAAAACAATCTGAAGAAGAAAATACACCACAATATCAGAAAACAGATAGATTTGGGTTGTATCTAAATCAGCAAAAGATGCATGACACTGGGGAGAGAAAATGAGTATTTAGGGGGAAAACAGACTAGAAAATTTAAGAGACAACTCAATACCTTCAGGAATAAATAAATCTGAGTGACGAACTTTAACATTTTAATAAAGAACGATTTGATAAGCGAGTTTAAAGGATTAGAAGATGGACTTTTTATGAAATTCAGATTGTACCTAGACCCATCAGCGCTGTAAAGCATCGTAGTACACCATTTACCGGGAGCATCATAGTCAACTCTGGAACCCATATTGTCATAAAGCCAGACCTTTATCTTCCCATCTATGGCCGCTGAAAATATAAACTGAAATCCAAATAAGAGCACAAGTCAATAGGCAGGATCTACTACATGAAATATGTCATCTAGTTTTAGTGTTCTTCAAACAGATGGAGAAACAATATAATATATGATAGAATGCCACACCTGAATGTTCTCTTTGTGATGAGGGCAAATGGAATAAACAGGAGCATCATGACCTTCAAAGGTAAAATGCTTTCGACCTTGAATATCCCATACCTGTTCCACATAGATCAAGTTACACAGCTGCAGTAGATATGTCTAACAGTGAAACACCTGTGATTCATCTACTCACCTTGATTAGCTTATCATCTCCGCAAGTAACTACACATAGCTGTCTGTTCGGAATAGCGAAAGCCAAGTCGTTCACAGCACCCACATGGGCATCGATCTGTGAGAAAAAAATAAAATAAAAAAAAATTATGAGATATTATTACATCGCAGTCCTTATCGTATAGAATATGATCTAACGTTTGCTCACCTCAGCATGCTCGCGAAGATCGTTAGGTCCAGAGAAAGCATACAAATGAATAAGATGTTTGGAATAGGCAACCCCTGCAGAAGAAGAGACTGAGACCAGAGACTAATTAAAATCAAAGAATGCATGAAGGGAAGCTTACCTATGAAATTTCCATCGGGACTCCATGCAACACGGGTGACAGAAATTGGTGGTTCCTTAGCTATCAAACCCTGAGTCAGTCCCCAAAAATGGTAAGCATAAGATTATGGGACAGCAGATAGTTTGCTGATACATATTATCTTCAACACTTATCTTCTCACAGCTATATGTTTTAAATCAAGACTTTTAATAAAACACATAAACTACGAAACTATTAGCTGTAACGGACAAACCTGAACTGTGGAGTTAGTCATATCCCATACTTTGAATGGCTTTGAAACTAGCTTCTCCCGAACAGTGAGTTCCCACAATGTGATTTCTCCCGTTGCAGATCCAACTGATGGAACTCAAATTGTCATTCAGAAAGCCAACGAAAAAATATCTAAAATATAACTTCAAATTGAGTTTGTATTCTAAGTTTCAAACCAATATACCAAGAAGTAACGTATTTTGCATAGGGTGAAACTCCATGCTTGTCACAGTGGACCCTTGATGCAACGCTAGAGCCACCTTTAATGGCAAGTCTTCCGGCGACCATGGAGCTTGTTGCCTAGGAGCAGGATATGTCACCTGAAAAACGAATAGTGCTTAGAATTTTGAGAAAAATGCAAGAATCATACAAATAGCTTTCCAGAAAGCAAAAAAAAATTATATTACCTCCTCTACAGATGGGGCAGGGCGGAGACGCTTCATTAGTTCATGATCTGGATTCTGATAATCTACTATAGCTGGAGTTGCTGGTGGTGTTCTTGGTCGCTTCAAGATTGCCACTTTTTGTAAGAAAAGTAATTAGTCTTGGAAGGATATAAAACATGTACTTACTGATAAGTACAGAACAAAAAAATGTAGAACACTGTCACAAACTAACCTTGATTTTGAGGTAGAGGCATAGGCGCATGTGTGACAACGGCAGCTTGGACAGCAGAAGCACCAGAGGCAGCAGCCATCCAACTAGCTAAAGCGCCAGCATTAGCAGCAGCAACGGCCGTACCAGGAGGAAATGGCTACATTTAATACATAATTACAGATTTACTCAAATTTTAAATACTTGTACGAATACAATTCAGAAACATGAATAAAGCGAGTCAAACATTGAGGTTTCTTACACCATGAGCTCAAGGCGACGGAAAAGCTGTTGGCTTTGTCAAAGTTGTAACAGGCTGGTTGACTGATGAAGGTGCCAGAGGACCATTCGGAACTGCGCATGTGTGGTCTGTGAATAGAGTTTTAATATCTGGATTTGGTCTAGGATTTTTGCACAGCTGGTGCTGCCAGTTAAGACTGCAAGAGAACATGTGCACAATAAATCCAGCAACATATTCTATTGTCGTGAGGAGAAAAATAGAAAAAGAAACACACCTTTGATCAATGAGAGTACGCAGTCTCGAAGATCTTAATGTAGGGAACGTCAATTTGTCACGAAAAAGAGGATTTGCTTCGATTAGTTTCTTTACTTCTGCTAGCATTACGGTTCGAGCTGTTTTTGTGTCTCCGTATTTGGAAAGCTGATCATTTTCCCTGCATTTGATAGAGAATCACTTTCTTGAATGTCATTGATGTCAAATTCAATCCACAAATGCAAATAATCTAACTCAAATATCACATTCCTATGAAAAGAAGATCTTGACCTCTAATTGATCACATTTTTATATTTTCCAAAATTCATCTTCCATCACAAGAGAAATGTGTAGATTAAGTAGAATCCACAAATCGTACCTGAAGTTCTGTAAAGTTAAAAGCTGAGTAATCTCTTTGTAGAGATCCTCGTTGAAAGTGGAGAAGACTCTCAAGTCCTGCACTAATATCTCAACTGCTTTGGCCTTATCTTGCCTGAAGAAAAAAAAACATGGAGAAGATGATATCAAACACACACACACACACTCTGAAATCACACAAAACAAATAAATAATCTACAAAACGTTACCTATCAAGAGCCTCGAGATACTTCTGCTTCCTAATCTCAAAGAAAATCTTCATGGAGTATCTGTTATCATCAACCTTAGTAAAACCAGACAAATACTTCTCCACTTCATCCCACTCTCCAGCAAGAACTTTCTCGTCGAAATACTTTGTATTAAAAAAGAATCCTGACTCCTTCTCCAGCCTGTAGAGAACCAATCCAACAATCAGTTCACTCAAGAAAAGGCTAATCAAACATCAAAATCACAAGAAAAATTAAATTAACTTCCACTCTACTCTGATTCAAACACAAATAATTCAATCATGTGTTATAAAAATCGGTCTAGGCGGCACCTATTCGGCAAATCGAACCTAAACAAAACACTTTTATGATCAATTTTTTCAGAAAGTCGGTATAGACGCCCGACTAATCAATAATTTCATATAAAACGTCTAACTACCGCCTAGCCATTTCTTGATACAAACAAATAATTCAAACAACCGTTATAAAAATTGGTTTAGGCGGCACCTAATCGGCAAATCGGACTTACACAAAACAATTTTATATTCCAGTCATTCAAAAAATCGGTCTAGACAACCGACTAATCAATAATCTCATAGAAAACGCCTAATTACCGGCCTAACGATTTCTTGAACATTGATTCAAACTACATAACCATCCATGTAAATAACAAACAAATATCTTCTAATAATAATAATCACATAATATTTATTTACGAATCTTCACTTCTAATTACAAATCAATACTCAGCAACAATATTCCAAACAGAGTCACAGAGATAAACATTTTCGGAATCTCCAATTAATCTTCTTCTTCTCAAAGAGACCTCTACTAACCTGTGAACAGACTCCTTGAATTTCTCTTCCTCGAGAAATTGAAGTATCAGAAACACAAGCTCTCGGCTCAACGACGACATTCTTCAAAGCTCCGAATCTCAAATTTAAAACGTCAAAAAAATAACAAAATAAACGATGAAAAATACACGAATCGGAGCTTGGTACAGAGATCTAACACGAGCTAAAGGGAATCACGACACGAGAATTTCTAGGGTTTTGAGAAGAGCTGCGTGAAGAGGAGAACAATGGAGAGAATAAATAAAGGAGATAGGATAGAGAGAGAGAGAGAGAGAGAAAACTTGACCTCGCTTTCTTGGACGCGTTCTTCTTCAAGAGAGCAGGACTTACCGACTTATCAGATATAAGCGGAGCTGACTTCGGTGATAACCTATTCCCCTTATAAGATAATCTACTCTGCTTATAACCTAATGGTGTGATAAGCGGGAGTGGAGATTAAGTGGCGGATTCGAAAATAAAATTCAAATAGTGTGAATATGCTGTGCACACGTCCAGTCTGGTGGTCCCCACGTTTTTTTTCTCTCTCTCTCTCTCTCTTGTGATGTCGCGCTCTTGGCTTTTTCATTTTTCTCCTAATCACCCCTTTTTAATCGCGTTATATATTAATAACTCCCACAACGTGTCAGTTACACGGTGGACTATTCAATATTCCACAAGTCACATCTGAAAATAATAATATTCTTACAATTTTTTTGGTTCTCTAATCCTAAAATCGATAATAACGAAAGATTTTAATTACAATATTATATTATGTTTAAAATTTACGTATAAACACTGATAATAACTAAATTAGTTAAACAACATATATTTAATTTTAGGTATATACATTTTAGAGCATTGTAAGGAACTCGTGTATTTCATATCAGTAATTAACATCTCCTTATTGACCAGGCTCTTTAGCCAAATTTGTGTAGCTTTGGATGTACATATATACATTTTGAAAGAAGATGAAACTATATAAATTTACACCATTGTAACAAAAGCTGAATGGCAAAGTTGTAATCAAACCACAACCATGATTTTTTGTTTACTGTTTAAGAGGATCTTTAATCCAATCCTTATTTTTTCGTTATATTAGAGTGAAAATGTAACATTCTTTATATTGGGTTGGAAATATTCAAACTCTATTGTACGAGTATATCATTGGAGCAAATTCACTTATTTAATAGAGTTATTCTACTTAAGAGAAAACAATAAGATTGAATTGAAGATACTTTAAAAGAGTTAATCGTTTGTAGTATATTGTTTAATATCAGGCTCTTTAGCCAGATTTTTGTAGCTTTGGATGTACATATATACATTTTGAAAGAAAATAAAACTACATAAATTTACACCATTGTAATAAAAAGCTGAATGACAAAGTTGTAAACAAACCATAACCATGAGTTTTTGTTTGCTATCTTAAGAGCATTTCTAATCTGATCTCATTTTTTCTTTTAAATGTAACCTTTGTATATTGGGTTGGAAATAATCAAATTCTATTATAAAAGTATATCATTGGAGCAAATTCACCTATTTAATAGAGTTATTAAGAGAAAAAAATAAGATTGAATTGAAGATATTTTTAGGAAGGTTAATTGTTTGTAGTGTATTTTTAGTATTAAAAGTTTCTATCTAAAATGGCTAGTTGTAAAGAATTTTTATACTTATAAAAGATGTAAAGATGTGAATTACCGAATCATGTTTATAGTTTTATGCCAAAAGGCTCATTTCAGAATTTTTAGTGATTATGTCTTTGTTACTGAAAAAGAATACTTATAATTAGAAGTTTATCATTTATCATATTCAATATTTATGTGTCCAATATCAGATTTTCTTATAGAAACTTCTTTACCCAAATTGTACAAAATTGAACGTTCATAAGAAAATTTCCAACATCATATAAAAATAAATAAATCAACATTTCAATCTTTTATATTTTTAGATTGGGTGCAAGAAGTTAACTAAAGTTTGGATGACATTAAATTTATATAGGACAAACCCATATCTAAATATGGACTCGGTCTAAACCATTAAAATTTATGATACGAGAGATAAATTAAAATGAACAAAATAAATGTTTTAAGAACAACATAATTCTGAAAATGATTACGAGATTTTATTATTCAAATCATATGATTTAAAAGATAATCTCAGAGTTAAAATACTTTGTGTGTTTAATAACATATCTATGTATGAATTTCCTGAAACATCCCTATAGCCGCCACCCTGCAAATCCATTGCCAGTAGAAAACCACGTTAACATGCATACACATACATACATTACATTATATTATATATACATATAATACATGAATTAAATCATAAAAGCAAGGACTAAGAAAGTCATAAATCCAACGAATGAATTGAAATCCGTAAGAACATATTGTTTCCCTTTAATGAATAAGTGAAAATCCTTAGAACTAGTCTTTTGTCCACAAGGTGGAAAAATCTATGGTTTTTTACTCCTTACTAGACCATTGACTTCCCATATTACATTGCCTTTGTGAGTTTTGTGGAAAGGTTTCTAATTTTCTCTAGGGATTCATGCGTGCACAAGCTCAAGTTAAGTATTAAGAGGAAAGAGGATGATCAGTTTTGTATCACCTGGTAGATAGACTCTGTGGTTAAACGATGTCGAGTGTCGTCATGTCATGTGAAGCACATTATGTAGAACTCATTAATTCTCAAGAAACTTGTGCTGAATTTGAGTTGTTCAACCGGGCTTCGTAGTCTAGTGGTAATGGAACCTTGGCTGAGGTGCCCGTCACCCGACTTCGAACCCCGGCCACCACATAATTAACATGCGGAGTTGGTGTGGCGCCCCAGACCACTTAGCATAACCAGGGGCCCTTAAGTAGACGCTTAAAAATCCTGTCATGGCATGGGCTTAGGTCCGGTGGGCTAGTCGATCACGCTTTGTGGTCGGATACTGGGTTAGCAAAAAAAAAAAAATTTGAGTTGTTCCATATGCCAAAACGAGGGTGTTGTGTGGACCTCCTTGCATTATCCAGAGTCCAGACGAATCATATTTTATGGACTCATTGTTCTTGTTCTTTGACAACGGTAATTACCAAATCTGTCTATACCAACAAATGGTTTCAGATTTGCTTTATTTTTGTTTCTCTCCTAATGATCTTTTTTTTTTGTTAACCTAATCGTAGAAGATCTTTTTCATTGTTTCTTGCTTCTCTGATGATGTTGTTTCCCAAAGTTAATAATATAAATTAGAATTCAGTTATTTATAAGTAAGGTTTTTCTTGTTGATGTATCAATTGAATTATGTTTATTTATAGTTACTTAGAAATGACGAACATTATATTTATTATCTATCTGAAATGTTTGTTGTAAAGATCGTGGATTACTATAAAATGTAAAAATCTGAATTACTGAATCATATTTATAGTTTTATGCCAGAAGGCATAGCTTATTTTTTTAGTGATTATGTCTTTGTTAGAGAAAAAAATATGAACATTGATAGTTAGAATTTTATCACTTATCTTATACAAATTTTATGTGTCAAATACTCCCTCTGTTTCAATATAAGTGTCACTCTACAGCTATGCACACGGATTAAGGAAACAATTAATTTTACATATTTCCTATATAAAAACGCAATTACCCATACACCTAACCATATTTTAACCAATAGAAAAACAAATTACATAATAAAATTAATAAATTTTGCATTGAAAACTGAAAACGACACTTATTTTGTAACACAAAAAATTCTCTACAACGACACTTAATATAAAACGGAGGGAGTATCAATTAGTCTTTTTTCCTTAGTAGAAACCACGTAAAGAAAATTCCCAACATCACATAAAAATAAAATAGTTGTCCACATGAATTGTCTTTTATATTCTTATAGTTTGTGTGCAAGAAGTTAACTAATGTTTGGATGGCATGAAGCTTTAAATGGGACAGACCCATATCTAAATTTAGTCTCAGCCAAACAATTAAGATCTAGATACACGAGAAAACAATTAGGCCATGTTCAAAGGGGGAGCACTTAGAGTGTGTTTGGGCTTATTTCAATTGGAAAAAATTCAAAATTGGGCTAAGATCAGTTTAATAGTGCTTGAACAAGATCAGTTCTAAGCCTTGTTCCTGGGCGACGTGGCAGTTGGTGATTGGAAGAAAATCATTAAACCAAAATTATTCGTTCATCTTCTTCTCTCTCGCGCTTCCCCAATTGATCTGAATCGTCTCCACTACGGGCAATGGCACCGTCGCGAAGACCTCTCCGTACCCACAATCTGTGGGATTTCTCGGATCTCGGGTCGGAAATTGGCCCGATCCGAAAAAGATACTCTGGCGAAAACGCTTCGATACGTAACTCGGTGGGAAATTCGACATTGAATTTGTATAGAAGCGGGTAGAGACACGGATCGGATCCCATTTCGAATCCTTGGCTTCCGGCTTGGCTCCGTTTATGATCAGAATAAAAAGTTACCACATGGATTTTAATTAATTTTTTTTGTTAAGCACACCCTTAACAAGTGATCTCTCTTTGAGGATGTCCCTTGTTCCTAACCTAAATACATTATTTTACTACTATTTTCACTCTAAGCACACACCTTAATGCTCTCCCTTTGAGGATGCCCTTAGAAAGGTGTAATTTAAAGAGTTTATTTGTGAAATAGTAAAAAAAAAGGGAATTTGGTTTTGTAGAAAGAAGGTAGTTGGAGATAGGAAGATAAAAGAATTGAGAGTGTTATTTGGGTTATGAACAAATTTTTGGTTTTTTTTTTGTGTGTTATCTCATGCAATTTCCTAATATAAAATATTTTAAGAACGTTGGCCAAAAATATTCTCTGCAAACAATAGAATTCTGAAAATGACGATGAAATTTTATTATTCAAAATCATATAATTGAAAACCATAGTAAATTAAAGCACCATGTGTGTTTAATAACATATCTCTCTATGTATGCATTTCTTGAAGCATTTCTTTAACCTCTATCCTGCAAATCCATTGCCATCAAAAAACCATGTCAACATGCCTACACACACATACATCACAAAAATATACATGAATTACTCAGACCGAGGGAGTACATGCGATTTATGGCAGTTGGTAACACAATCTTTAATGCATTTGATCTTAACATCGACAGAGAAATTTTGACACGAGGAACTGCATCTATCATAACAAGCTTCATATGATTCAGTCATTGCTGGTAATGGTATCATCGTCAATGCAATGATCATAATCATCAACATGCACATACACTTCTTCTCCATCTTTTGTTTTTAGTCTCGTGTATCTATGTATGTCTCTTTTTGATGCCTCTAATTACTATTAACAATCCCTATTTATAGCGTTATAACTTTTTATTATTGGAAACATATTGTTAGATTTGACTATGTATATATCGATCAACGGAAATTAAATTACTTTTGATTTTGTCTTGATCAGCAACGTTGTATGATAATTGTGTTCTAGATGTTCAATCCACATTTAGTAACGCTATTATTATTTTTTACTGAATAATAAATTAATTTGACTAACATAAATCTACTTATCGATTCTTTTTTTTATTCTTCTATAAATTTAAAGATCAGTTACGTTAATTGTGTAATACGATCATTTGCAATATTATCACGGAGCTTGAGTTCCAGTCAGGTAAGTTTATTTTCATCCTCTGTATTTTGTAACTTTTTATGTGCATCAAGTATACCGAACGCAATAAAATCCCTTTTTCATTTTAATGAATGTGAGCCCGGTTTATTGAACAGCTTTCCTTGAAAAGATGGACACAAATTATTGTTCAGTATAATTTATGGGCTTCTTAAGCCCAAATTAATGGACTTTTCTCTGCCCCAGTAAATACCACCATTCCTACACGTTGGTATTGCTACGGTGGGTGCACAAACACGGAAACTCCACCACCACACCACACAAGTGATTGTTTGTCGACAACACGTGTTGACCATAGACTATAAACTTGTATCCAAAGGTCGGGCTCGCGTGTGGGCCACGTGAGGACCTAACTCATCATGCGGTTGGTTCTCGACTAGGTTCGCTTGCCGAAATTAGAACTTCCCTTTCAAAATGGGAAGTGATTCATACTAAAAGTCTCCTAGTGTAGTAGCGAGCCTCTGTGTTCTCTCGTCACGTGTCCATGCATAGCTCCTCGTATGACTCGTTACCACGTAAGCTCTTAGATTAGATCTAGTGGGAAAACGTTTTAGCTCCATAGACCGAAGATGTTTTGGTCTATTTATAGTATGTTACTGTTTTCAAATACATTTTTTTTTTTTTCCGTCAAGAGTTTTATATAGATAATAGGCTGAGAGCCCAACATACAAATTACAACGCAAGCCCAAAAACCAAAGGGCATCTAAAACACAAGATATGGGTCACAAGTCCATCTAAAACTCTAGAAACTACCCAAAACTCAGCCGCCGTACACGCATACGCTTCGAGCTCCGACATGACCACCACTTTGAACCACCACCGGAGAATCAACCGTCGATTTACCGAGACTCCCCAGAGCACACCAGCTCTACATCAACTTAACCGCAAATTTCTTCCACTCAGTTGTTTCCAATGACAGAGAGCATCAATCATCACTTCGAGATCTCATCTGTCACCTTTCATGAGAGATTCTTCTACAGAGAGCATCAATCGGCGAACCGAGATGTCATCCTTTTCACCACATCACCCATTCCGAGATACATCCCGGAACAACAGAAGCTTTTTTTTTTGTTCTCATGCTGTTGTTATTGTCATTAGAGAGTTTCATCACCGCGTGAGATCTCATCCGATCCGACCGAAACAACCACACCTAAGACAAGAACTACACCCAGACCACACCAAAAGACAGAATAGAAGCCATTACATGAACTAAAACCCAAAAAATACTACGGGTAACTAAACGGCAGCGCAGAGCTTTAGAAGCCTCTACACTCCGGAAACTAGAGCCGGCGACAACAGAACTATGTTAGCTTCCCCTTCCCGGAAACAAGCCGGCAACAGCAGAGCTGAAAAAGCCTCTACATCCCGGATTCAACTGTTGGACTGACGAACCGCCTTTCCCTCGCCAAAACCCTCTCCACAACCGCGTCTTTACTCCAGACACCGAGTCACCGTCAATGATGGATACTGGACCAGAGCTTGGACAAGGCGATAGGTGAGAGGAGACGAAGGAGAAGCAAGACAACAAGCTTTTAAACGGAAGAAAAAGGGGCTCCGGCGACGGCACGTTCGCTCAC